TCGTGAAGCTTAAACTCCAGGGCTCTTCACTTCCTGGGGTCTCTCCCAGGTCACCAGGACTATTCCTAGCAATATGTGCACACACCCGTCTTTGCACAAGCAAGCTATTTTCATCGTCATCAGTTATGACTCGTGGCTCTTTCCACACTCATTTCTAGCTACGAAAAGATAGAGGTGAGAGGTACCAGTGTAGAAATGGATTCCGACCAGGTTCCTGACCCCTGGGTGCCGACGCCTTGTGTTGTCCACATCAGTCCAGAGAGAGACCTTATGTGGATGTTACTACATGTTACAGCACTTGGCTATGAGGTACGTGAACTCCGTCCACACAGGAGAAATAATATTTAAAATGCTAGAAGTCAGGAGTGGCTGGGTGGCTCAGTCGGTTGAGCGTCCAACGCTTGATCTCCTCTCAGGTCATGATCCGAGGGTCATGAGATGAAGCCCCGTGTGGGGCTCCTCACTGAGTGTGGGGCCTGCTTAAGATTGTGTCTCTCCCTCTCCCCATGGGTGCTCTCTTTCTCAAAAAACAAAACAACACCACACAAACAAAAAATGCTAGGAGACAGAAGCTAGTCTGTGGAGAAACCTTCTGATCATCAGACCGGTAAAATTGTAAGTGAAGAGTTAGTTTCTCATAACCCCTAATAAAAGTGGAAGATGTCCCCCCCGGCAGGAGTATGTTCATACTATACAATATACACAATTACAAAAGCATCCTATAATTTTTTTTCCTTATCAGAAGAAGTAGAAGATAATCGAATTTTCCCACCATTCCTGTGTTTCGAGGGCACACGCGTGTGCTTTTACTATAAGCAACAAGTATGTTTGGTAACAGATCCTATGGAAAGGAAGCTTGGCAGAAGGCTTTCCAAATTTGACGGCCGTCCGAAAAACTTGCACGCTATTTCCCACGATGAGTTATGGCCCAGAAAGAAACCCTTCTAACCCAACAGTGATGAAAAGACCCATTGCGATCAGCCGTGCTGGAGGAAGACAGAGTTACTGCCTCGTGAAAAAGAGATCAAAGACTGGGCAGTCCGAAGGTGCAGGGCAAAGAAGGAAGACAGAGAGGTGTCAGGCAGTTCGTTAGTGGACGTGCCATTTCTCTGGATTTCGTGATAGTTATGGTATTTGCCAGCTCTCCAACATTTGTCACGTGCTGTGATTTTCCTTTCTTCGGCTCGGGTCACCGTCTCACGGTGTGTGGGTTCGAGCCCCACATCTGGCTCCCCGCTGACAGTGTGGAGCCTGCTTGGGAGCTCTCTCTCCCTCGCTCTCTGCCCCTCCCCGCTCGCTCTCTCTGTCTCTCTCAAAATAAATAAACTTAAAAAAATATATATATATATATTGGTCTCCACGCCCGGTTCCTGCCATAGACCTCCTAAAACCCTTGTAATTTTCCTAAGTGATTAGAGTGCAAGGAACATCTTCTGATCTAATAGTTGGTCTTTGACCCTGGTTCCTGACACAGAGCTCCTAAATACGTTGGAATTTCCTGGGTGGTAGCAGCCGTCTTTTGTTTTAATGAGGCGCCTCTGGGTGGGCTCCCGGATGGGGGCTGGTCACCAGAAAGACCAAGCCATAAATAGAAGCTTGGAATTTTCGGCCCCACCCTCTGTCCTCCCGGAAGGGGAGAGGGGCTGGAAATGGCGTTGATACTTGATCATGCCTTCATGATGAAGCCATAAAAGTCCCCAAAGTACTGGGTTCAGAGAGCTTCCAGGCTGGCGAACACAGCTAGCTGCCGGGAAGGTGGTACAACCCAAACTCCAAGGGGACAGGAGCCCAGGATCCTCCCAGATCCCGCCCTGCGTTCTCTCTTCATCTGGCTGTCCATCTATATCCTTTGTCACGTCCTTTCTCATATAATAAACGGGTAAATGTAAGAAGTGTTTCTCTGAGTTCTGTGAGCTGTTCTAGCAATGATGGCGTCCAAGAATGGGGTCAGGGGAACCTCTGATTTGTAGCCGAGTGGGACAGAAGTCGTGGGTAACGGGGGACCTACTACTCGCGACTGTTGTCTCATGGGGGGGAGCTCTTGTGGGTCTGAGCTCCTAACCTGGGGCACCTGTGCTCCAGTCTGCACCCCAGTTGCTTGGTGTGGAAAACCCCACACCTGATGCCCGAAGTGCCCTGAGTGTGGAAGCAGTGTGTGAACAGAGGAGAACACGTAGTTTCCCCTAGTTAACTAAACAAAACATACAGGAATGGCCATTAGTCACCCCTTATCCCTAATACATAAAGGCACTCGTGATGAATTTTTCCAAGATAAAGACCAGAAGGAATACAGTATATTGAAAAACAGTCTGTCCCCCTCGTACATGCTTTCGTGTGTACCCATGCCTTCCGCAAACGTGCTCTCACTCAATCCGGGCACCGCTTTGAACTGTCACCCCCTCTCTATATGGCGGGAAGCAAAGGCTAGGACACAGACAAGGTTTTCTGGTAATGTCTTCCCTGACCAAAGTTAGTTTCTCCCTTCTCTTCCCTTGAAGACTCTACTAGTCGAAATGCAATTATTTGCTTTCTCAACTCTTCCCCAGAAGACTGTGAGCTCTCAAAGAGATGCCAGTCTTTGGTGTTAAATGTCCCTTCAAGCCAATCCTGCTTGCCAGCGTGAGTGGGGGTTGGGAGCAGGTAAAGCCGCCAGGGGACGGCAAGTCCGCTCTGGAACGACTCAGACCATCCCTGGTCCGGCCAGCCGCTTTCGGCTTTGGGCAGCCCTCCCCCTCACCTTGGCCCCGCAGGCTGCAAACTAGCCAACTTGGCCCTCCGGGGGTCAGTGAATTGGTTTAGGCCGGCATTCCTGGCTCTCCCCTCAGCGGCTTCCCGGCTGCACCTGTGGGCACTACCTGCCGGCCGTGGACAATGCCGTGCGGGCTACAGGCGTCTGCCCCTGGGCTGACCAGCCCGGCTCAGCCAGAGACAGGGGGCGAGCAGGAGAGGGCCAGAGAGAGAGAGAGACAGAGAATCCGAAGCAGGCTCCGGGCTCTGAGCTGTCAGCACAGAGCTCGACGTGGGGCTCGAACCCACAAACTACGAGATCACGACCTGAGCTGAAGTTGGACGCTTTACTGACTGAGCCACCCAGGCGCCCCGAGAGTCTTAGTTTTTATGTAACTCGATGAGACACAAGAGAAGACAGACAAGAGGTAAAGTGGGAGATGGAGGTGGGGAACCAGGACCCCCAAACTCACGTGCAATCAGAACAACAACTAAGAAGACGGAACTTTCCTGACTCGGGAATTCTACCAAACGCCAACCAGGGGTTCAGGAAAAGCTTCAAATGGACAAACCACCCACGTGACTGCTTCCGGGAGGCTTTTCCCAGCCTTCTTTCAGATTCACAACTCATCATTTGGAAATGCCACGTACATTTCTCAGATTGCTGTCAGATTGGCTCTCAAGTTTCTTTCATGATCTATTACAGATAGATTTGCCGCCTGTAGTAAAACTCCGGGTATGGGCCCTTCAAACACAAGCATTCTGGAAAAAGACCTCATTTCTGCCTGAACCGTCTTCAGACCGTTGGCCAATGGGGTGATGAAGAACCAAGGGTGAGAATCCTGGAGGGCTGTGTCCCCTCTGTGAAGTCAACACAGGGCTCCTGGGCACGTCTTGCAAGGAGATGTCCCTTCAGTGAGTCCAGACATTCCATGAGGAGGGGTGGGGGAGGGGTGGCCACCCGGCGCTGCACTGCTTGGCCATTGCAGCTCATTAAGGGATTATATGCCACCAAGTGACACCTAAAAATACAAAGGCCAGCTGTGTGTCCTTGGTGCCGAGGGGTGTGATGAGCCAGCTGACAGAGACAGCAAAATCACTCAAGTCGGCTTAGTGAGGGAAACTAGGTTGTGAAAACCTTCAACGGAGGAAGAGCTCGTGTATCACTGCCTTTTTGAGAAACAGTCAGGGGAAGAGCTCCCCCTTGCCACTCTGCCTTTGCGCCCCCACCCCCCACCCCCGTGGGTCTGCGTCCTTCCTCCCAGTCTGGGCTGAGGAAGTCCCCGTAGCAAGTGGGGACTTTGGCTTAATGGCACCAGTCTGGGTGGACAGATGAGGAAAGCAGACCCTGTCATCTCCCTGTGAAGGGCTCTGCACCTCTGGCCAGTGGACTCAGAGGGCCACCCTCCTGCAAAAGACACTCTGTCTTGAGAAAAAGAGGCTGTTTGTGGATGTCTGACTTTGGAAGCTGCTGGGGAAGCCACCACAGGGCGGGGAGGTGAGGACAGAGACTTAGTACCATTCCTCGGTATTCTTCCCTCCTTGCCTCCTGTCCCACGGCCACATGCTCCCTACCAGCTGGTCACCACCCCCAACACCCAGATGCACACACATACACACACACACAGACACACACACAGAGATACACATCTTTTGAGAAAAACAGCATCTCTTGGGTAAGAGGAACATGAACTCATGGAAAGGGCATCCTTGTCTTTACAGCCGGAAAAACCTTGCTTTAAGTCACAGGATTCTGGGGGTGCCTGGGCGGCTCAGTTGGTTAAGCATCCGACTCTTGGTTTCGGCTCAGATCGTTGTCTCACGGATCATGAGATTGAGCCCCAGGTCGGGCTCTGCGCTGACGGTGCAGGGCCTGCTTGGGATTCTCTCTGCCCCTTCCTTTCTCTCTCTCTCTTGCTCTCTCTCTCTCTCTCTCTCAAAATAAATACATCAATAAACTTTAAAATAAACTTAAAAAAAATCACAGGACTCTGTCATCTACTAACAGTAACCTCTGAATTTCAATAACCTCATCTCAAACTGGTGACCGAAGTACCAACTACATCAGGCTGTTCGGAAAACTGAACCGCTTACGAAGCACCTCACGGTGCCGGGCTTCTGGAAGACGGCGTTCCATTAATGTTAGTCGCGCCCCCATTATTACAACACACTTTACGGTCCTAAAAACGTGACAGCAGCTTATACCCCTTCCCCACCATCCCCCACTGATTTCTTCGGCTGCAAAGAAACGTGAGAGGAGCTTCCGGTCCCACCTGGTAGACGGCCCTGGAGATGCACCATGGCTTCAGCATCAGCTGCAGGACCCGAAGGTGTCCCCCTCGACACGTCCTCAGCGCTTCGGAAGTCAGGCCCCGAACCAGACGGCCCCGGCTACATAGCAGGTCCTCTGAGCCAAGCGGCCCTCCAGCCATGCCAGCCCCAGGCCCCGCCTTTACCCCTCTGGTCCCAGGCCCCCACATCCAGGGCTGTGTTCTTTTAGCAAAGCAAAGTTCGAATGTCACCGAGATTTAATCAGGCAAGGGAAAAATGCAGTCAAAATAACTCTCGCTTCCTCTGCCCCAATCTCCTCTCCTCCTACCTTCCCTCTACCCTCACTAATCTGCAGGGACTGTTTTCCCTCAAGGATTAGCAAATGGCTCATAAATCGAAACGTTTTCTCCCTGGCTCTGGGAACTCACCAGGGACAAGGTAAAAATAGGCCTCACCCTGCAGATAATCGCACGCCATCCCTCCCTGTCCGTGGGCTGCTGGGGACGTAGAGCCAGGTTTGGGGGCAGGTCGAACGAGAAAGTAGGGAACGGCGTAAGCCCAGAGTCATCCCCGTGCTCTCGTGGTTTCGAGATTCCGTCCAGGGTGAGAAGCAGAGAAGCAAAGGAGAAAGAGCTCGGGTCTCCCCTGCCAACATTCCCAAGGCATTCCATCTATTCTCTTAACTCTTTAAAACTCAGAGAACCAAAGAGCGTCTGCGTTGGCGAAGCAAAACGTCCGGTTTTACATCAACACCGGAGAGATTGTGCTTTCTGTGGGCACTTGGCAAAAACCCAGGCATTTTCTTTGGCAATTTCCCAAGTTTACATTAGGATTAAAAGGGCTGTAAGAAAACTTATCTATCAGATTTAATATCAACATCTGTGATTTTGGAGTAAAGTAGATAAAGGAGGCAAAGTCAACATATCTCATTTCTCCCCGTAACGGGTCATTTTCTGCCAACGTTCTTGCGACACTACCACGCGTTGGATAAGCCCTACGAAGACCTTAGCCGGAGGAAAGGCATCCACTTAAACAGGGTACAGCTACTTGCCATGTTGATTAAGTTTTTTGAGTTTGGATCATTTTTAACCTTGTTTCAGAAGGGCATCTGTACCCTAATTCAATAGGTTATAGGCCAAAAGGTGAGATCCAAAGTGGGGAGGGCAGACAAGGTGTAGGGGAAGACTGAATCACAACACAAGAAAAGGGACATGTTTAGTCTTGACACAATTTTGATTGCATGGCTCCGAAGAACCGTGGTGGCCACCAAGGCACATTTTCCTCCTGTACATTCTTTCCATTGATTAACTGATTGATTATCTTGTCTCTTTAATTCAAAACTTAAATGTCGGCAGAAAAGTAGTCAAGCTCAGCTCACTAACCTACTGGACCATCCTGGAGTTGGACGTACTTGAGTTTGAATTTGGCCCTACCGCTTACTGTGTGACCTTAGACAAGTTAATTAACTTCTCTGACTTATTTCTTTATCTGTAAGATACGGGGTTGTTGTGAGGATTAAATGAGATGATATACTTAGAGTGGATAACACAGGCTGTGGCATGAAGCTGATTTTAATTTTTTTTTTTTTTTAGCACTTACCATGATCACCTAAATCAAGGACACACCTAGCCCTGATCATACGAACCTCTTGTGATCATTTCAAAGTTGGTGTTTGTCTAAATCATCTTCTCTTAATCCCTTTTCCTTTGGCTAGGGATAGATGCATTCATTCATTTAATTAATACGCGAAGAGCATTTTCATTTGAACTCTTCTTTGATGAGTTTCATCATCTTCCTACAAGTAATGGTTCTAGGGTAAAACATTATGCATGATTTGATTCCTGTATTTTTAAGAAAAATTTTTAGGCCTATCTATTGTTGAGACAGGGAGAAACAGAGCATGAGTGGGGGAGGGGCAGAGAGCGAGGGAGACACAGCATCCGAAGCAGGCTCCAGGCTCCGAGCTGTCAGCACAGAGCCCGACGTGGGGCTCGAACTCACGGACTGTGAGATCATGACCTGACCTGAAGTCAGACGCTTAACCGACTGAGCCACCCAGGCACCCCTCATTCCTGTGTATTATTCCTTCATTTTCACATACCCCGTCGTCAAAGGTGAGGGGATACTGACTAAGGAATCTTGTTTTTCTACCAACAGTCCATCCGCAGAGATTGTTTTATTGAGAGAGAGAGGGAGAGAGAGAGAAAGGGAGGAAGAAAGAAAAAGAAAGAGAAAAAAAGCAAAACTAAAAATCAAATAGTATGTGGAAAATGATTGCTCCATTAACATTAGTTAACCACCTTGGAATTCTCAAGAAAAAACAAAGGCAAACGACATCATAGTTAGCGTTTGCCTGTCCCTAAGCTCATACTCTCCATCCTCTGGGGGTTTTGGCTGTGAACCAGGCTCTTATCCAAAGCATGTAATTACGGAATAGATAGGGACAGTTTTAAAGGCACTGTTTTGCTCTGTGATTAAACAATGCGACTTTAAACATTTTTTTCAAGTTAAATATATATTTAGCTTATGGTCTGGGAATCTTTGAAGTACAAAGGTGCCATAATGAGCTTTTAAAAACATGCCTGGATAAAAACATATTAATGCCTGAGAACGGCGAGACTTAAACTGGCCTAAAATCTTTCTCACTCAGAGGACGGAGATGTCCTCTGTGGAGCCTGGTAATTTCAGCAGATGTGCTGGTGGGGGACACTGATGACCCCTTTTGCTGGCCTGGTGTCTTCAGCTGTATCTGCTTCTGCCCTAGATTCGAGGTCGATAATTCAGACTTTGACAGGCAGCTTCCCCAATGGCCTCTGAGAGGCTGCGCGGGCAAATAGCACCGTTGCCATTGACCGCGGAGCCCCGTGCTTTTAAAAGGATTTCGAATGAATGCTCAGAGCAATTAGATACAAATGTGTCTGCCTCTGTGTGCATGTCTGTGTGTCCACGTGTGTATGTATATCTGTGTGTCCTTCTGTTTGTGTGCCTGTGTGTGCATCTGGAGCAGAAAATTGTAGTGCAGAGGGTGGCAGTCACCTGCCCAGACCACGTGAATATCGTGACGGACCAGGGACATGACCTCAGGGCTCACCAGTCAAAAGAGGAAACTGCGTTTGTCCTGCTGACTCCACCTCTTTTTAACCACGTTCTTTATTCTTTCTTTGAAAATAATAGATAGTCAGGGTTTCCTGGGCAGTTTACCACTTAGACAGTTACTCACAGAACTTTAAAGAATGATCGCTCAGTGTCGTCGTGGGTGTGTGTCTACAGGGTGAGGAACAGCATCTGAGATCCCAGGAAGATGTCATTAAGAGTGACTACAGAATCACCCCTCCTTTCAGGAGACTTTTTGCTAATGTTTGGGGTGGAAAGGGTCTGAGGATTGAGTCAGTTGGCAGGATTGGGTTAGCTGCTGAGTGTTGGCCTCTTGTATGCCCTTGGGGGACATCACAAGCGAAAGCCAAAGTCTTGGTCCTGTGGTTCCATATTTGGGAAGGGACCGAGGCTGGAAGCTCTAAATCAGGTGCTGACCGTGGGAAGGAGGCGGGCATGGTGAAGCCGGGAGTTCCCGTCCAGGGCGAAGGCTGGAGGGGCAGGTGGGGCCCTTGCACCACACACGGGGCCACCGCAGGGCACTGACCTCGATGTCTCCCCCACCCCTCCCAGCTGCTCCCACCTGGTTCAGCCGTTCATCACTATCCCTGCGTCCAGAAGTTTCCGTCCCTACTTTCAGACTCTCGTTCACTGTATTCGCAAAGACGGAGGAATTCTTTGCAAAGCAATAAATGCCTTTGCCTGACTCTAGAGATATTTTCGGACACAATTACCGCCTTGAGAAGAACTCGGAAAAACTCTAAGTTGAAAGTAATACCCGGCACAATTAGGAACAAAATCCGCAAACACGTTAGAGATACAGGAACTTGTGTGCACACGGAGAAACATATCTATAGCAGCCCAAGAAATGTATTCAGGAATGAATTCTAATGGAACCCGTCTTAATTATTCAGTGATTATTTGCTGCCACCTATTTTAGAAAATGTCAGCCGTCGGATTGACCGGAGAAGTCCAATGCTCTGTGTCAGGTCAAAGTCAGCTGCTGGGAGGCACAGACACCGCTTTTTAAAAAGATTATCTTGGAAGCGTTTTGTTGTATCTTACTGACAGAATTTGAAGGTCAAGGGTAGTTTCTCCCACATCAAACCCGGTCCAGTGGAGCTCCAATACGAAGACATTTCAACCAGAATTAAGGCCTTACTCCAAGCAGATCCGTTCTCTTGGAAGAGCAAGGATCAATGCACAACGGACTCCAAAGCGAACCTGAGAAGGTGCTGGAAAATAAGGTTTTTTGTAATTTAATTTATTCTTAAGTTTATTTATTTTGAAAGAGACAGAGACGGCGTGACTGGGGGAGGGGCAGAGAGGGAGGGAGAGAGAGAGAGCGCAGAGCCTGCCGTGGGGCTTGGACCCAGGAAGCCGCGAGATCATGACCTGAGCCAGAACCGTGAGTCAGACGCTTGACTGACAGAGCCACCCAGGTGCCCCAGGAGGTGTTGTTAAATAAACGAGTCTGCAACAGTGAGGGGGAAGCTGGGGTATGTTCAGACACACTCATCCACCATACTTCCAGGTTGCACAGAAAGCCGATTTTCTTTTGGGTTTTGCAATTGACATTTCTGTGCCACGTGTGGGCCATTTCAGTTCTCTGCTACTAGCTGGCATTTTAATTCTCCGTTCGCCTCCTGGCTTCCAACACGGGACTCAAACTTAGGCTTAAATTTGTTGCACATTTTGTTCTTTCCTTCCACCGAATGCTTTTGTTATTAAATCCCCATGTGTAAACCGAAATACTGGTCTGGGGCAGAGCTTTATTCTGTAAACGAAGGCGGCCCCTACTTCTTTGTTGGTATTCTTAAAAAACACGACACTTCGTTAAGACGTAATTTATGTCCACACTCGCCACCCATGTAAACTGTACAACTCAATGGTTTTTTTTTTTTTTAGTGTATTCCCAGGGCCGTGCAACCATCGCCACCCTCGAATTTTAGAACTTTCTCATCACCCCAAAACGAAAGCCGGTACCCATGAGCCAGCACTGCCACTCCTCACTCCTCCCTCCCAACCCCAGCCTCTTCCCAAAAATGTTCTAGAAGCGCGATCTCTG